GCAGTTGGATATACCATTGGTGGAGCACCAGTTACTTGTTGTTGTTGAGGTACATTGGATTGTTCGGCACGTTGAACAGATACAACAGCTGAATATACAATAACAATATCATTTCATAAAATTTCATCTATAGATAATTTACCTTTTTTCGGTGCGACATTATTAACACCAGTAGTTCCAGTATCTCCACTATGGCCTGGATTAGTACTTGTTTTATATGTTGAACCAGAGCTACCACTAGGTGTTGTCATTCCACCTGTACCTGCATTACTTGTATTTGGTCCATTACCAGATAATTGTTGTTGTGTTTGTGGTGGCATCATCTGTGTGCCCATCATACTAACATTCATTTGTTGTGGTGTAGAAGTAACAAATGGTGCCATATTGGTAAATGATGGTTGATAATATTGTTGATATAAAGCTGCTGCACTTTGAGGATGTGTTGGTGGAATCATTGATGATTGCTGTACTTGAGTTTGTTGTACTTGTTGTTGCTGTAAAAGATGAAGTGCTTGTGGATGAGCATGTGGAATAAATGTATTGATCGACATTGAGCTTGTTGCTCCACGAGATTCTGGTCGAGAACTACTTTCACGCTATAAAAATAACCCTAATATTTTTTTAATATTTCAATTACTTAAAATATTACCGAAAATACAGGAACAAATTCATCAGCTTCTGGATTTAAGCCCGAATTCGTTTTAACATTACTCGGTGTTCTACAAAAAAAAAACAAGAAACTGTTAAGTTTTGTTTGGATATGATTTCAAAACACATAAACATACATTGTTCCAGTTGTATGCTGTGTATAAACAGGTGCATTTGTTATATGCATTGTTTGATCCGATTGATTTGGATTTATTGTTTCATGACTAGATGAATGATCGTCTTGAGTTGGAAGTGTTAATGGAGGTGGAACATTATTATTAGATGATGAAATTGGTTGTTGTTGTTGTTGTTGTTGTTGTCTTATTTGTTGAGTATGCAGTTGTGATGGACGATTAAGTGGAACTGTATTTAATTGATTATTTGAAGAAGTTTGTTGTTGATTGCGTTGTTGTTTTGGTTGATCTGATTCATCAGTTGTTGATTGTTGTTCATCTTAAATATAACAAAATAAAAGTCAAACAATAAAATAAAAATTAATTTCATTACTGCGTAATTGTTTTTTAGCCATTTTATTATTTGATTGTTGAGAATAATTTCCTGTTCCAGTAGAATTTGTTTGATACGATGTTGTTGTTGCTGCTGTTGTTGGTGATGGTGATGTTGTTGTTGTTGAATTATTTCGAGAAGATGAACTACCTGTATATGGTGCTGGTGAATTTCTTCCAATAGGTGGTCGATTATTTGTTGAATAAATAGTACGTGCCGGAACTGTGGTTGATGGACTTGTTGGACCTGAATTTTGTCCTTGTGAAAAACTGCCACTATTGATTCTTTGACCACGTGTTGTTTCATCATTTGTTGTTTGTAATGGTGAATCACGTCCTTCGTGTGGTGAACGATTATCTGTAAAACGATTATTACGAGATTTATATTGTTGTTGACGATTATTTGTTGATTGTTCCGATGAACGTGATGATGTATATTGTGTTTGTTCGGAACGTTGATTCGACTTTGGATTATTCATTGAATAATTATTTGGACCGCCACCACGTCGATTATTACCAGCACCACCACCAGTTCGTTGTTCACGCCAACTGCCACGTCTAATTATGAAAGAATAGTCTTAAAGGCTTAAATAATAATAAACAACAAAAAATGCATTACTTTGATGCATTATATTCTGCATCATAACGAAAATCTGATCGACGATCACTTGTATGTGAACGTGATGATTGATTATTTTTAATATTACTATTTCCATCATCAACAGTATGTGTTTGATTATATTCAGATGGACGTTTTACACCTGAAAATATCAAATATATTTCTACAATACAGAAAATTATTTATCTAATAACCTGCATCATCTTCATCGATATCATCATTTCGAGTTCCTTTTTCAATTTCTGAAGCTTTTTTTTCTATTTCTGCTAATTCATCAGTTGTCATTTGACGAATAGGAACATTTCTAATGAAAATAAAAATAATTCATTTGCATGAAAACGAAGAACTACATACGTATATTTGCTTTCATGAAAATCTGTTGTTGTATTAAATTTTTCTCGGTTAGTATGAAACATATCTTCTGGATCATAACCAGCCTGAAAGCAAAATAAAGAAAAAAGGAATTATTTTAGATAGATCATGTTCAGTAGTTGCTTTTTTGTTTACTTTTCCATCATCACCAATATCAAGATCTTCGAATGTATCTGGATCAATTTCATCTGTACCATAAAAATGTTCCATACGATTAAAACGTTCATCTTCCAATTGATTTACTTTTGGATTTTCATCAAGCATACCTGAATATAAAATTTCGAATAAAAAATTTCTTTGACTTTTTTTTTGACTTACATTTTCCACTACCAGATAAATCAATATCACCAGCAATTATTTCAACAATATTACTTGATGGAATAATACGTCTATTTAATTCAAATGATTGTGATGAACTATCAACTGTATCAAAAAGATCAATAAATGATGTTGATAATCCCATAACATCATTATTATTATTATCTAATCGATGAGCAACTGATAAAACAACATCACCATTAGAAGATATTGTTTCAAGTACACCATGAAAACGTTCTCGTTCAGTTGTTTGAATAATAACTGGTTGACCCTATAAAAACAATGTTTTCGTGCGTTATTAATAAAATAGTCAAAATTTATATTGAAAGTTAGTAGAGTTAAATATTATGAATTGAATTCAAGTTAAAAGTTTAATTATATGATTTTAGTAGTATGTTATTAGACCGGTGCGCGTTCAATGATAATTTAAGATAAATAATGTACAATACTGGACAAAGTTTTTTGAACGATCCTTTTAACTGAGTTATTTTTCATCTCAGTTGTTCTGAAAAAATTAAACCTATATAAATGGGAAGAGAACAACACGAGCTAAACGTTAGTAGCTAAAATTTCTTTACAAGAAAATGGTCTATAATGTAATTTGCCTATTTTACGACAAACAATACATAATATTGATGGGAACTATTTATCATATTTCTTTCCAAATATCATATTCGAAAGAGTATCGGACACTGCAAATCTTTCAGTAAATGATCCCTCAAAAAATCGAAAACGTCTTTCGTGAAATTTCAAACTATCTACCACTTTATGTAATTCAGTGTCCGATACTTCTTCGACTGTGATATTTGGAAAGAAAATTATCGAGTTTACATAAACAATATTTTGTTCATCATAAAATAGAGAGACTTCATAATAGACAATATGCTTGTAAAAAGTTCTATTTATTAACGTGTAGCTCGTGTTTTTCTCTTTACATTTATATAGACTCAATTTGTTTTAGTACAACTTTGGAAACAAAACCTTATTTTGAAAGATCGTTCAAAGTATTTTGCCCCACAAAAATTGACTACAGCAGATTGTTATATGTTCAATTCTAATGTAACTCAACATTTAGGAGTGAACTTTTCTTTGGATATAGTATAGACAATAACTGTAATTTTGACGTAAACTGTTCATCAAAAATCGACTTTATACAAAAGATATATTACAAACAAATTCGTTCGAAAGATTTTGTCCAGTATTGTATTCTAGATGTTTTAGAAAAGGAATAATTAGAATACAGAAAAAAGAGCTTCATTTCATTTCTTTTTAAGAAATAACGAAGAGGAAGGGCAGTTTGCGTTGTACAAATTTTTTCTCCTCCTAGAAAATCAACTTACCAATAATCCAATAGTTACTGCATGAACAAATCGAGGATTTCGGTAAATACCTTCCGACTAAATAATTGAAAACCAATTATTCTTTTACAATAAACAAGATATTTTTTTTCTAAATTGAATACATACTTGAGAAGTATTCTTTGTTAAAACTGATCTTTGTACATTTGAATCGACTCTAAATCAAACATTTTTTATTCATATAGTTCATCAAATAAAGCTAAAAAGCACAGGCAAAAATTAAAATTCGCAGACTTCTCTTGTTTTCTTCTACTAGACAAACAAATCAATTAAAATATTCTGTTATGTTTCTGATTATCGTTGAAACTAAATCAAATTTATCGGCTAAATATTCTCAAAAAACACTAAAAATAAAACGCAAGAAATGAATATTTTTCTTATTTACTCAGACATATTGTTAACATTAACAGTTGAATCATTATTATCATATGAATTAGTTGAACCATTTGTATGATGTGTATTTAATGTTGATGTTGTCTTATTAACATTTGTTGTTCGTGGAGCAGTTCGTGTTGATGACATAATTAATAAATGAAATATTCGTTGGACAAAAGAAAAGCAATAATTAAAAGAATAAATAAATCTGCGCTATTCGCCGTATTCACAAACACACACTTCTGTTAAATTAAATCCAAAAAAGAATTGAACGGGACGTTTGGATCACACGCACACACACGCGGAGAAAAACAGACACGTCAATTGACGGTTTGTATTAATTCTAAAAAATATAAAAAAGAAAATGACCTATCTAAATAAACTATGTTAAATAAAACTTCTTGTCATTCAAATATCGAAATAAATGATAGCCAGACGTAGAAAAAAAAAAGAAAACAAAACTTCATGATCATTTCCAACCATTTTCTTTTTGTACCTACACAAGCATTGATTGTAGCGAACTTATTTCATATTGAAAAAATTTCATTATTTAAAATTTTTTATTCATTTAAATCAAAAATTTTTCAGACTAAATTTACTGAAATTTAAAAATTTTTGTTGTTTTATTCGCTACGATCCATATAAATTATTTCATTGATAGTAGTGCTCTCTATCTTTCATTAATACTGAAGTAAACATCATTTATTGCATTTTCTTGCCATATGGTTGTATGACAAGGTTTAGAAACAGAATTTTCACATTTTTTTTTCCAACATGTAATTAGTAATACAAAACGAAATTAAAATGGCATCATCTTCATCGTTATCATCAAAACGTAGAAATTTTTTTAATTGTTCTCAAAGTCGTACAGTAATTAATGACGATCATGAGAACCTTCTACATCGTGCAATACCGAAACATAATTTAGTATGTTGGTTACGTGATCGAGAACTTGGTTATATAAAATCAAGAATAAATCATTTTATTGCACGACGTACTAATGTTTATCGTGCTATCCATCCGTCTTATTCTATTTTAATGTGCACAGTACCACAAGCTGTATATATAAGAAGATTTTCACCAAATGGACAATATTTACTTGCTTTTTCACATGATCTTGAATCTTTAATTGTTTATAAATATAAAGGTAAATTAATTTCAATATAAAATTTTGGGTATATTTTCAATACATTCATAGATAATATGTTAATTATCTGTATCAAAAGAGTATATTTCTCTAAGATATTCTATTGATGTAGTAATTATACTAGATTACCCTAAACGATATAACAAGGTTTCTTTTTTTTTTCTTTTTTTGTAAGTTGTATGTAATTGCGCCATAGTTTTGAGTTATGACACAATGTGTTATAAACGTCCTTGCATGGTGTAATTTGATTATTATGAGATGTAAAGAAAGTTTTTTTATTAATTAAATACAATTAATAGTAAAATTTGATTTGAGGAGTTTTTATTTTGCAAAGAATTTCAATTTAATGTTTCATAATTATTACAAAAAAAATTGATTTAGCAGTAAAATGAATCGTTTTAGAAAAGGTTACTTAGTTGAACATTATTTTTTTTTATAATCGATTAGTCTTGTAAAGTATAGTTCAATAAGTATATCATCTTAAGAGACTTGAAATATATCTAGTTATTTCTTCTTATAAAAAAAAAAAAAGAGATTAATGATTATCTAATATGCAGAACAATATTTGCAATTTTTTCTGTTTTGAAAATTGATTTCAAATATAATTCTACTATGAAATAGAGTATCTTCGGAAGCCTTTGCATCTTATTTCTTTTGTTAATAAATCTCAGTATTGTTTTTCAGACTATAAGTACATTTCTCACAGCAGGTATATTCTGAATATTAGTTCTTCTAATGAGAAAAAGAAATAAAAGAATCGGACGTAATATTTATAAGAACTAAGCATAACCATGAACACACTGTATTTTTATCGTCTTTTATAAATCAATTAACATTAAACTGTAAAGAAAAAATCACTCAATTATATATTTTTATTAAACTAAGTTTCATAGTTGCCCAATGAAAAGATAAAAAAAGAAGTACATCATATAGAATTTCACAAAAAGAAACTAGTGCTCAAAAAACAGTACAAGATCATAAATAAGATAGTTTTAATCGTGAATGTCGAAAGCAAATAAAAAACGATAAAATAATTGACAATGAAACTAAAGCCGAAAAACTTAACCGTGTCGTTCAACAGACAATCTATCCTGACGTGAGTTTAGAAACATAACCGCCATTCTAAAAGTTGCCACATGCATATCACTTCTCACAGGTTAATAAAAGGCTCACTTATGAGCTTAACTCAACATATCTGGATCTGTCATAAAAATTTCCTCAAAACGTGTCTCATAAAGATTTAGACAATTAAATACGGTATTTTCACTTGTCATAGACAAAGGAAAATGATCAAGACAATTACTGAAAACATATAAAAGTATTAAATGATAGAAAAAATGGCTATATAAAAAGCTTCCTGTTGGAGAGTAGTTACATAGAAGAAATCGAAAAAAAATTCAAACAAGAAGAGAAAAAACAAGACTATAAAAAATTTGTCAATATAATACAAAAGCAACTTGCTATTTGTCATTAAATAAGATTTTAAGTATGAGAATTGGAGATAAAATATTAGTTAAAATATGATTAAGAAAAGTTCCATACATAGCTCAGATAATAATTCAATTTTCAAAGTATTGAAAATTCTTAACATACATTAAAAACGATAATCTTCATCTAAAAAGAAGTATTAGATCAGCGATGCCAATTTCAAATCTCGAAAGTTGGTAGACTGTTTTTGTAGGGTTTCAGTGAACAAGCTATATTTTACAGTACACTAAAAAAAGAATTATGCACTAGTTGACCTTTTTCCTTGAGTCAAATAAGAGAGTGGCGAAGAAGATAATATAAATACTGCATCATCATCGTCGTCAATAATATATAAATTAAATGAATAAAATAACTAAAATAAATTTCATTTAGGTTTTGAACGTATCTATCCTCATTTAATTCAATGTTCTCCATCAACAAACTATACGCGTTTGGATGAAAATGGTGATAGTTCTCGACAACTTATATCTGATGCAGTTAATTGTGAAAAATTACGTGATCAAGCATTCAATAAAATTTTTGAACATCATGTTACAATACAAATACGCTCATCATCTATAGGTTATTCATTAAATCGTAATCATATATATTGTCTTTTTTCTTCTGATCAATATGCTATAATATGTGCATCGAAATTAGTCAATGAACAACAACATCCACCATATAATCAATTAGTACAATCAAATGAAGATCTTAATCCATTATCAAGATTTTATTTTGAACATTTTCTTATATTTCTTATTGATTATTCACGTGGTATTATATGTCAACAACTTGAATTTCAATTTGATCGTATTGGTTTAACAATATATAAATCAACATTAGCTATATTATCGATTCAACATCAAAAATTACATTTATATCATATTGATGAAAAAAATGGTAAACTAGTTGAATTATTAACTGTAGGAAAATTTGCTCAGACCAAAGAAGAGTTTTTATATAAATATAGTTTACCTAAACATTTATTAACAATGTCACCACGTTTATTAAATAAAAAAAATTTTAAAAGAAATTCATCATCAATGTTTGATAAATGGGAAGATAATGAAACCGGTGGTCAACAAAGAAAACGTATTCGTGATCATTTCAGTGAACATCAGAACAGTGATTCTTCATCATCACGTTTATTCTCACATAATGGTAGTTCATTTGTTCGAGAAGAACTCCATCGACCATTTACTCCACCTCCAACTAGAATACCATTAAATAGTACTGAAGAACAACAAACAAATTTTAACTCTATCGCCGAAACTAATGATTTACCTGCAAATTTAGCTCAATCGATATTTCAACGTGAAAATCGACCTATCAGACGAGGTTTTCTTACTTATCCAACTGGTGCATCATCATCAGGTAATCTAATTTTATTCAAGAGGAATGTTATTTGCGTCGTTACATATGTGTATACAATGATTTTTTTTGACATTCAGTCGAATCTTTCAATCATTTACATGAAAGAACAAAGTGAAATACTGCTACTATGAATTCATTTCTTGAAAGAAAATGTTTCGAAAAAAATTCAATAATCATCTCTATTGATGTCCATGAAACTTCGGTTAATTGGTTGTGTGGGATGTGTATTAAGAGAACGCGACAATCAGTCGCAATGTGAAAGCGATCACATGTTTGACAGAAGCACGGTTCCTATTTTACTTTCTATGAGCTTCAATTTACGAACATATGATTCAATTTCATACATCTATGTGAAAAATGAAGATTTATCTCATAGAATAGATTCATAGATAATTTTATTGATAAACGGTAATTGACTGTTGATATTCCCATTTTACATTCATTGAAATCTTATGAAAAGATGAACACTATATTCATTGTCAAATAGCAAAAACAGCAGCAACGAGAATCTAAAAAACAAGAAAAATTATAGAGAATGTTGAGATAATTTGTAAAGCAACTACTATTTTTTCACGTATAAGACTTCACACTCAATTATATGAGCTCACTTAACACTCTTATTTACATTTATGCTTAATACTTGTTGTCTTTGAATGGATTGTACGTTACATTATGGGCTCCTCTTTGTTATTCGTCCATATTGCTAAGATAATCTTTTTGCCGATTGTATTTGTCAATGTTGCAACTTATTCTATAGTGCGACTAGTTTTCATAACGATCCATTGTCACTCAGACCGATTAACATAGATCCATTTATCATATTCAACAATTTTTTTTTTATTTTGTTTTTGAGAATTTAGTAAAATCTCTTTAGAATTTTTTTTTTTTTGCTTTATGCATTTTCAAAAAATTTTTTCATTTGTGATTATTTAGATTACGATCATGATATGTCAACCGTAGCTGATGATGATGAGGATGATGATGATAATGATCAACCTATGAATCTAACACGCATAGAATATTCAACAGATCGAACGATAAACGATTCAAATGATGATTATTGGTCATTAATACAAAATCAAATCTTATTACCAATGAATGATAAACAATTATGTACATTAAAACAACGTTTATTAACATATCTATATCAACGTGCTAAACAAAGTAATAAACAATTACGTTTTATTCATTCATTTAATGATTATTTAGCAAGTAAATTTTATAAAGTACAATTTTTAACAAATAATATTATTTTACTTAAATTTGCACATGAAACAATAGTTAATAAACGACAACAAGAACAACAAATGCATTATGCTTTATTTGTCGTTTATGATATTCAAACATCGACAATTCTTAATATATATGATGATTCATCTATGGAATTAGCTAATATATTTGAAAAATATAATGATGATTTTCGTTATTCATCATCATATGGTTTAATTAATTATAAAGATTTAGAATTTTTTCCTTTATCAACATATGCTGGTCGTCGTCAATTCGAACATATGTATTATAATTCAGCATCAACCGGTGATTATGATTCAATAAAACGTTTACTTATGCAATTACCATTACGTACAATAACACATACAATATCACCATATCTCGATTTAAATTTATATTCATATGATGATAAAATTGTTCATATTGATGATATGATAAAAACATGTCCAAATAATCCAGTAAGATTTTTTTCACGTGATTGTCAAAGAATGAAATTTCAATTAACATTAACAAATCGTTCAATTATTTTACCACAATTTATGACAACAGATAATTCAACAACAGCAACAACAACAACAACAACAACAACAACAATTATTACACCCACAATAACAAATCACAATAACAATCCAACAACAACAACAACAGCTAATGCTGTATTTATTCCGAATACTTTATCTACTAATCGTCGTACTACATTAACTACACTTTGGCATCCAATAGAGCCATTTTGTATAACAATACAACGTTGGCCAAGAGATCTTGATAATATACATAATTTTCATTTATATCGACCACCAAATTTACGATAAAACAATTCCTATTTTTCCTACTCTCTATGAGGGTATTTTCTTTTGATTTGCTTAACTCTATTTGTATGTGTAAAATAAAAAATAATTTTTTCTTGTGTTATTAGAAGTACGAAGGATTCTGAAAGATTCACGAATTTTTTTTCTTCGTTCCCACTAATTGACTATTTTCATATAAGAGATACATATATATCACAACATTTTATTTCAGATAATAAATATTATATTGGTTTTTTATGTATCTATATTAGATGAATATTGATAGACCTTTAGCAACACCGCAACAATCATCAGCTTGCTTTTCGTGTCATGCTCTTGGAATAGCATCAGCATCGGCATTAGGAGTTTATATGTTTTATCAAGCTAAGAGAGCAAATTCATCAACACATCGCTTTACTTGTGCTTTTTTTGGACTAGGTAAGATATTATCAATTATTTACTAGTATCAAAAATTTCTCTTATCAGTAAAAAAAAAGAAAAGTAAATTGTTAACATTGAGTTTGAAATTGTTACGAATGATATCGAATAGTTATTTCTTTTAATACAACCGAATGTTTTGAAAGTATAGAAGATGAATATATATGTTTGCGAAAGATGGATACGAATGTTATCAGATAAATTAATTTCTTTAACAATAAAACAGTAACTTTGGTAATTACGGTTTGATCATCGTTTCAATTTAACGAATATTGTTTGCATTTTTTATTTTTATATATCAAATAAACAGAATCATGGTGAAGAATCAGTTTCAGTCTTTGTGCTTTTGAAGCAGTATTAGAACTGTTGATTTATAATGATTGTTGTTGTAAAAGTGATATATGTAGAAAAATATTCATTGTTAACTATTGATTATGTGATTTAAGAAGATTCGTATCAAAACTCTTTTTTGAATGATTAAGTATACATGATGTATTTAACAACTTTGAACTTTTTTGATACGAAATAATAAGAGGTTCTATTCTAAAATATTTTTGTTGGTCATATTATTGCATCTTATTCTTTGCTACTCGTTGTTTTTGTAATAACTATTTCTGATTTCTAAGATAATTCGCAAAATTATCTTATGAAGATTTGTGTAACAATATGAAATACTTTTTATTCTTAGCACAAGATGAAAAGATTTTATTTGAGATAGCTGGAAAATAAACTTGCGCATTAATAATTTATTTTCTAACTTTCAATGATTTAAAAGTCATCAAGGCTCGATCTATTTTTTTTATCAATGTCATCCTTTATTTTCCTGTCAAATGACTCTTAACTTTTTAAAAGTTAGTATCAAAATTAATGATTAATACAAATATGAAATTAATGTAACTAATAGCAAAATTATACGATATTTTAAACAAATTTTCGGTCAATCTGTATTTCTTTTGTATTATTATTGTATATGTTTTCGTATATTTCTTTATTGTATTTTATGATCGTCTCTATTCTGGGCACTGTTCATACGAGTGAGTGTTGCCGCACTTATATGGACACTATTCTTATTTACTCATCTAATTCTCTGTCATAGTATATTCCATTTTTATTAAAACTTCACTTTTCCTTTCCTATCTGTATTAGATATATAGTTCCATCTTGTTACTATTGTTATCCATCGTCAATGAATTTCTTCTCTGCCTTAGATATTTCAAAATCTAGGTTTATTCAGTAGCCTACGTATAACTGCTGTTTTTATGAGGCATGTTCAAATTTCTTACAACGTACATACCTCCATCGATGGCAATTTCCATCGTAGCATAGTAATCCATCAGACACAATAACCACCAATTTATGAAAAACTACCAGGAAATATCTTAGAAATTTCCAAAATTTCTAATAGTTTATGGGCTAGGCTCTTTCTTTATCGTATGCACATATCGAAGAAAATTTCGAAAACTACTGAAATTTTCTGAAAAGTACAGGGCTTTGCAAAGGTTCGTTTCGATCGCTTTAATGGCAATTAGAGTTATTTCCTCACTTTCCGATCGGTATCCTATTTCTATGGGAGTAATTTCTGAAATTGCATAACTTAGAAGGAAAATTTATTGTTTTAAAAGTTTGAACACTGCTGAAACTTTCATAGAGAATAACAAAGTGTTACGATTTTAATACCATAAGTAGATAATTGCGTTGTTTTAGATATGTCATCGAATACATTTAGTGATAATCTAGACAAATATCTGTACGTCTCTGCCATCTTCAACGATTTCTGTGACAAAACCTGTTGTAGAAAAGAATTCAACTCATAAATTAGATCTACAAACATATTATACAAACAAACAACGATCTCTACTAAGCCAGCTTATACGTTACATAATGCGTACATTTTACGATGTACCGACATCGCTTGTTGTTGAATATATTTATCATTATGAATGTATAAATCTTCAAGATCTAGCTGATCGACTATGTTTGAATCCGAAACAGATTCATTCATATATACAACAATTAAAACGTGATAAATATATAAAAGAAGAAGATCGTAGTAAATTAAAGGTTGGCTCACGGGGTAAACCTAATCCAAATGAGTTGTATTATAAAATTGATATTGATGCATTTGTAAACATCGTTCATTATCGTTTAATAAATATGCAACTTGCAATTGAAAATTTCGAACGACAAGAAATCTGCAAAGAAATAAATTATAAGTGTGAACAATGCTTAAAAGAGTATACTGTATTTAATATAGAAAAGTTATGTAAAAATAGTATCGAAGAAGATTTGACAAGTACAGCCTGTAGCGGTATGATAAATGAAAATAATCAAACTGAAGAGATGAAAACTAGAAACGGACAAATAATTAATATGCGATTATTTAATGAACAAATGGCACCATTATTTGAGGTTCTTGAAAAAATAGAAAAAATAATGACAAAGGAACAGTTAACAATGGACAATCGTGATATTGAAGTTATTATTGAAAAAGATGACGACAAATATTCTTCAAATACAGATATTGATGAAAAAAATGAGAAATTAAGATCATTACCAGAATGGTTTGTTCGTTCAACTGTTAATACTGAACTTAATGATGATTAATTTGATCATACTAACCCATTATTATATATTATTAAAATTGCATCGACTATTGTATTTTTATTAATGAATTTAGCAACATCAAATGTAACTAATTCACAATCAATTTTTGGTCTTTCACAGTCTTCTAATTTAAATATCGCTGCTATGAATAATGAATAAAAACAATACAGACAGCTCTATTTTTTATTCATCTGATGAATATTGATAATTAAATTTAGATAAATTTTTTATTTATATCGATTTCTTTTATGTATTTTTTAATTTCGAACAGATTGATATGTTTTTTTTTGTATATTTTAAAATGATTTTGATTCTGTATTCTTTTTCTAGGCTGTTTAATTTTTGCTTCTCATCGTGTTTCGTCACTATTTAAAGATATGTAAGTTATTGACTCTTAGCATACTAATTTGTTTAGTTGTTTATTTCAATCAGATCACAAAGAAGAATTGCTGCTGGTGGTCGCATACAAAGAAGACTTGAAGAACAGCGATGATCAAGCTAGAAGTATTATGATACACAATCATTTTTTGTTGTTTTTTCTGTTTTTATTTTCTGAAAGGAATGTTATTCCTGCGTTATTTCAATTGATGATATTTTGTAATAAATAAAGAATAAAAAGAGAATCTTTGAAGTTTTGATACATATTGTTTATCACATTCTTTTTGATAGAAAAAAAATGCTTGGCGATGATATTAAACAACAACTGGAATATCAAGCACAACAAACGTTTCGGGCCGATGAACCTGTGAGTAGTTTTTGAAAAGAAAATAATTGATTTACTAGTTAAGAGATTTTTCTTCATAATCATTTTAAAAAAAAGTACAATTAGAATTTTCAATGTAATTATTAGATATTCATATGTTAGATTATCACAATGGATTTTATATTAGACATTTAATATTTTATCTAAATTATATGTCAATGAAGTCATCAAATCATTCAAGACCGTTGATATCATATTAAGTTTTGTGACAAATCAGAAAAACTAGTGAATAAAGTTTCATATGAGCATAAAAGTTATTTTAATTTCAGGATGAAACTATATGTTGTTGCTTATACAATTGAGGTTTAGCACGGCTTTAATGTTTACTGTATTGAACTGTTCGACAACAGTATTCAAATAAATATTTAATAGGACCATTTCATTCGATTCTATTAAGGAACTAGACTAGTAATTGTTTGTGCAGCTTAACTTATTCAATAGTTTCATTTCATTTCTTTAATTGTTGACTTTCTGCGACCAATTTAATACCTACTCTCAATACAAAGTTCTTTTCAAAGATTATGAGTCAATGG